AGATAGATAGATAGATAGATAGATAGATAGATAGATAGATAGATAGATAGATATCGATCGATCGATCGATCGATCAATAGATAGATAGATCGATCGATCGATAGATCAATAGATCGATCTCTGGACGTGTCCAAACCACTGTCCCTCTCGACATGTCCAGACCATGACTGGCCTCTCTAACTTTATCCCCCATTTGTTCAACCTGTGCTGTAACTCTGATTTCATTCCTAATCCTATCCGTCCATCCAAATAACCTTGTAGCAGGGAGACAGTAATACGTTTCATTAACATCCACTGCAAAGCACTTCTGTTTGAAATCAGTCAGACCTATATTGCACAATTACAACTAGTCCAAAATGCTGCAGCTCAATTTTTAACCAGTACAGGCAAAAAAGAGCATATTATACCAGTTTTGGCCTCCCTGCACTGTTTCCCGGTTCACTTTTGAATTCAGCTCAAAACCTTTCTGTATGATTTTAAATCTCTGAACAGCTCTGCCCCCTCTTATCTCACTGATCTGCTGCAGCCATATGTCCCACAGCACTCTTTGAGGTCAACAGATCAGATGCTCCTTTTGGAACCAGGAACACGTCAAGCTCAGAGGTGACAGGGCAGGTCTGTTGCAGGTTTAAGATTGTGGAATGACTTACCACTACAAAGGCAGGCTCCCTCTCTCACTGTTTTTAAGTCTTGCTTAAAAACTCACTTTTATTCCCTGACTTTTGACACAGTGTGATTTGTTTTTAGCCTGTCTGTATTCTACAATGTTAGCCATTTAGTTATCTTTTTCCATTTGGATCTATGTATTTTTTGCTGTGTGCTTTGCTTGTTTGTTTGTGTTGTACAGCACTTTGGTTGACCTTGTTGCTGTTTTAAGGTCTCTCTTGTAAATGAGCCCTCGAGGCTCAATGGGATTAATCTGTCTAAATAAAGGTTGAAGGAAAAAAGTACTTTATAAATAAAGTGGTATGGTATCCATCCTTGTTACTCAACTTTAACATCTTCATTTTTGCTACTTCAAGTTCTGATCCTGTCTTTTTATCCATGTCTCTGTCTCCAGACCATATACAGTAGGTCTCCGCACTCTTTTAAACTTTTCCTTTGACCGTTGCCACGCTTTTGTTGCAAATCACTCCTGAAACTTTTCTCCATCCATTCCATCCTGCTTGGACTCTTTTTCACCTCTTTACCACATCCCCATTTTTCTAGACAGTGGACCCCAAGTCCTTGAAGTCCTGCACCTTGCTAACCTGTTCTCCTTGTATCCTCACTGTTCCACCTGTCTCCATGTCATTCACACATGCTCTGTATGGCTGACTTCCTTTCTTCCTCTTTCAAGTGCATACCTCCACCTCTGTAAGTTCTCTTCCACCTGTTCCCTGCTCTCACCACATTTAAGTGTCATCTGCAAACACCAAGGGGATTTCTACCTGATCTCATCTGTTAGTAGGTCCATCTCCAGATCAAACAAGAAGGGGCTCAGAGATATGTGATTCCATTAAAAAAAATAGCACGTGGCCATCAAAATAATGTGTATGGGTTATGTTTGAAATGACCATTGTTGGCAGATAAACTTGCATAGCGAAAAGGAGCGCATTATTTAATTTCAGCCAATCAAAACTCTGTACAGAACGAGCAATATTACTCGAGTCCAATCAGCAAAGGAAATTTACAAATTAGGGGCGGAGCATATTTCAAAAATAGCCAATCAATGACTATGTAGCGACAAACAGGAAAACTCATCTGACAAATCGCCAATGGGGAAAATGTAAAAGCCTACAGAGTAAATCCAGATTCCAGACTCCCGTGGGTTTTAGTTTTATATATTTATTTGTGCTTCTTCTTAGGATTAGAGTGCATGTAAAAAACAAATGTAACCGGGGTGATTTTCCGGTTTCCGCCCTCCTCTGTCTCTCCGCCCTTGGAGTTGTTTGAAACGGTACAACAAGTTGAAAGTATTTAGCAATAACCAACCGGAAGTTTTTCTTCAAAATAAGAGTGCAGTACTTAAAAATTATTAAACTATATACCTAAATATTTAGGTTTTTATGGAGGTAATGGATTTATTATGTTGCAATGCTTTGACGTGACCTCTTTTGCTGCTTTCAGTGTGGCATGAGACGGTAAATCTCTCTTTTTTATTTTGTACCGGAAGTTGACGCGTGGCTTTGTGTTTGTGTCTCAGTTACATATATAAAACCGGCCAGTCTTCACCGCGGTGATATCATCGCATCTCAGAGTTGCCAGCTCACTTATTGTCTCCGGGCACAGCAAACAGGTATTTCATTCATGGGAAACAATTCTCTCGTTTTTGTAGCGGGTCTGGTTGAACCCAGAGTCCGTGTTGTGGGTGCCGGTGGGTCCGCGGAGTTGTCTGTCAGAAGTGCGTCGTCGGGCCTGGCTGTGTTGGCGCGGGTAGACTGTTAGCTTTGAGCAGCTAACGGTTACAGCCAGCGGCGGTATCACATTATAAACACTCTCTCCACCTCTTCTCTAACCACACGGTAATAATGGCTGCACATTTAAATTCAGTCTGAGGCGGTTTGAACGCGGAGGGAGCCGGCTAACTAACGTAGCAGCTGTTGTTGCTAGGCAGCTAGTTTTCATTCATCCTTTATTTATACAGGTTAGTCTCTGTTTAAAAGCAGCTAATTAAAACCAACTGAAGAGCTGGTTAAGACATTGACCTCAAACAGTTAGGCTTGATGGTTAGTAAGCGTCACAGGAGATGATTCAAGATGTAGTTGCGAACTGATCATGGCTTATTGTATTGTTGGGCTCGGTCTAATTCCTGGGTGCACACAGTGAATGGGCAGTTTGAAATGCGCAGAAAGCATCCAGCCGGCAGCCACACGTGCAAACAGGTCAAAATACACCGATTTATTGATTATTTTGTGCTTGCATACTGCTCAAGTCACAGTCTAGTAAAGTATATTTTCCCTAAACAATCAGAAAATGCTGCAGCTCTTATTGAAATTTGTAAGTATTCATGCAAATGCAGATTAACAATATTTGGTCTTTAATGCAGACTGAACTCCTTTATCTCCCGTGTTGTTTGTTTGCTTGTTTGTTTGTTTTTTTGTCCTCACGTGAATTGTCTCCCTGACTGTTGCCAAAATATTTAAGTTATCTCTTAATTTCCACACACGCAGCAGGCCTTGGTGGAAGAACTTTAATATTATTGCAGGTTCTTTACTGATTGGATGTAGTGTACACATTGTTTTTGGAGCAGCTGGAGGTAAACCTTTATACTCTGGTAAAACAGACAATCCTGATCCAACTTTAACACGGGCGTGTCCAAATCTGGAGCCGCTGTCGAGCCACTATCCTGCTTTTTTTTTTAAAGACTGTTCTCTGTTTTCACACTCCTGACTTCAGATTCAGTACCGACTGATTAACAGGCTTCTACAGGACTCTGAAGACCTGCTAAAGAGCAGGGAAACAACAAAAATATGCAGGCTAGTGGCCTTCCAGGATTAGAATTGGACATCACTGGACTAAAACATGCAGAATAGTGGCCCGCCAGAACCAGAATTGGACACCATGAGGCTGAAATGATGAGGGTGGAAGTAGGTGTGGGTGCTTCTCCTTTCCCACCCACATTTTGATGTTGTCTGTCCGTGGGGTGGAACAGACGACCTGCTCGCAGACTCGCCTTCTAACCTCTGGGCCACTTCTCCCTAACCCTTTTTCTTAGGCAGATAGATGTCATTATTGACAGAAGTGGAGTTGTTCACCATAATTCTACAACTCTGTGCAAAAAGCATGCGTGGACAGAAAGGACATCTTCGTTCCTGAAAGAGTGGCTGCTGGCCTGCAGATGAGTGTAGACCGCAATGTCCTGGACATCATCAGGCCAGGCCCAGGACTCTGCAGTCTACACTCATTTGCAGGCCAGCGGTCATTCTTTCAGCGATGAAGATGTGCACATCCTTGATCGAGGGGAACACTGATTTGAGAGATGAGTAAAGGAAGCCATTTTCATGAAGATAACTCGTCCATCGTTTAAATGGGGGCGGAGGCCTCCGTCTTCAACTGTTACCCTCTTACAATGCTGTTATTGCAAGTATCGCTCAGCCCTCTGTGAACAGCAATCAGCCATCAAGGCACTAACAACCAATTGTTAGGCTGGTGGTCCTCCTTTTACATGTGAATAGCTAGTTCTGTCTGTCAGCAGCAAGCTGGTTGATCCATCTGTGAGAAAGTGCTATTTAGAAGACGGAGTTTGTTACAGCTCCTCAAACTGAAGCCCTTTTGAATAAAATACAAAATGTTTAAACGAAGAGGAATCTGTCCAGAGGGCCTGACTTAATGGACTTTTCTACCTGGATTATTGAGCATGCATCAGGGATGCTGGTAATTTGATTTTAAACTTCAGCGTTTTAACATTTCCAAAGGCCATGATCATTTATTTTTTATTTTTAAGTAGGTCAGATTTTTAGAGACGTTTCCTCCTGCTGCAAACCATTATGTCTCCTCCTGAACAGACGGCTGATTCTTTGCCGCCGTGTTTGATTGTGTTTTTGTCCTGCGTCGTCTCTTGTTGCTCCTCCTGTCTTCTCTTCAGTAAAACATTTAGACTTCTAAAAGATAAGAATTGGACTCTGTCAGTTTTCTTTAAAATGTTTTTAAAGTTTTGAGCATACTGTTGTCTTTAAACCTTTTTAATATGTTTGAAAGGCTGGATTTTCCATGTTTGTGATGCTTTTAAACAGTGTTATAATGTTTGACAAGATTTGTTAAATTGTTTAATTTTGTCTGTAAACAGTCAGGTCATAAGGACTCTGCAGATTTCATTTAGTCTGGAAGCACTGATTTACCAGGCTGGCTGTGAACTTGAGATTTTCAGTCCATTTGTTGGACAGTTTGGATCGATGTGAAATTTGACTCTTTAATGTGTTTCAGTCTCTCATCCCTGAGCTTTTAGATAACTGTTGTTCTTTCACTGAATTCTTTGGAGTCTCTCATCAAACAGAAGAGAAATCATGATTTTTGTATGGTGAGGGACTTTACTGCTTCATTTCCTTCTGCAGTCAGAACTTAAAACTTATTCGGCCGATAACCGATGCCGATACAGATATTTTATGTACTTTTCTTTGTCGGAACATATTCCTCTTATTTAGGCGTATTTGCTACAATAATTGTGCAACAGCTGTAAGAGCTGGTGACATACATTCAGTAACAGCCATATGATATGCATAGTGCTTTAAGTTATATTAAATGAAAAGTGTTAAATGTTATTTATGGGCATTAGTCACCTGCAATGCTGTCTCACTTGTGTGGGCTTATTCCAGGTTCCTATAGCTGCAGTGTGGGATCCGCTGCACTCCTGTGCATGAAGGACAGCCTTTTTAAGTTCAAAGTTTTTGTCTATCCATTGTGTCATAAGACTAATCATTAGTGGTGTAACGGTACGTTAAAATCACATTTCAGTTCAGTTAATTTTCTGTACAAAAATGGACAAAATAAAGACTTGCAAAATGTTTATTTTGAAAATATGCCAAGTAAACCAGTTCAGTCATTACAGACTTCTTGGTTGAAGGTGATCTGGTGGATGAAGAAGACTCAGCTCTATGTCGTTGACATCCTCAGACTGCAAACAGCACAAAGAGATAAAGAAAATTGAGTTAATAAGATTATAATTTTAAATTAAAGTTAATTAGATCACAATAATACAATAACAATACCTCTTCTTGCACGGTCATCTTTGTTGAATATTATCTCTTGCTCATCGTCATCAGGGCAGGGCTTTAAATCTGGGCTCCAAGCCTTGTTGACGGTATCAGTTTTAGCTTTTTTATAAAGTGCTGCTACAACTTTTTGGCTGAAGTGATGGGATGTTGTAGCGGTGCTCAATAACTTTAAAGCCGGCGCATCCTCAACAGAATACGGACGTAGATCCAGAGCTTTATAAACTCCTACAGCTTGTGTTTTTGCTTTGGACCGATCTGGTTGTTTAAATGCTGCTATCGGTCTTTGCACAAAGCTGCTTTTCTTCCTTGTAGTAGAGATGCTCGCATTCGGATGATGTCGTTTCAAGTGCGTTGACAAGTTACATGTTTCCTGCTGCAGATCCAATCTCTGTGAAATGACGTCGACACACAGCTTTGAATTTGTCGCCTTGTCTTTTAACAAGAAAGCCATAACGTTCCCAAACAGGAGACCACAACGAGATGCTAGGCTGCTAATGCTACGCGTGCTGCAAGACTATGCAACAATTAAAAGCGCCGTGCTGAAACACGCTTAGGAACTTTAGTTCCGCAGCACATAATCTCTCGTTAATAAAATTTAATGAGTGAAAAAATAACCGAAACGGTTCGCACGTGGACCGAACCGAGCACACCGTACCAAAACAGTTTAATGCACCCACATGTACCGTTACTAATTAGGAATGCACAATATATTTACCGTACATGGTAGAAACGATAGACTTTTAGCCTATGATGGAGATCTGTATTCTACCGGTTAACTGCAGTGATGCTGTATCTGATGTAAAATCAGAGTTGTCAGATTTAATCGTTACATTTTTTTTTTTGTTGAAAACTGCGTAAGTGGTGTTAGTCTTTTCTTTGAGAGCGAAGTAGCGAAGCTACAAGCTAACTACGGCCGGCTTGCCGTAGTATTGCCGTATTCGGACGCATTTGCAAAATGCTTTGTTCTGTCGAAAGTGAAAGTAAGCGTTGGTCAGATAGAGAAACCTCTCTGATCTGTGAAAAGAACGCTGTGTTGTGTGATTTTTACTGCGAGATCCTCTGGTCAAAGCCACAGAGGAAACTGGTCGCCATTTTGTGTCAGCTCTCCTTAAAGCGGAAGGAGATGCCCACTAGAGGGTTGGAGGTTTAAGTGTGTTCAGTGTGCACTTGCTGCTCTGTTGCTGTTCATTTCTTAAGTGAGAATACTGGAAACAGCATATTCTTTTGTTTAAAACATATGGCTAAAACTACATTTGATATATTTTGCACTACAAGAAAGAAGCCTAATACTTTATTTATTTATTATTTCAAAACTCTCTGGACCTAGTAGTGGAATTTTCTTAATTGAGATTATTTTGTGGTATAGCAGTTTTCAAAATAAATGATGGCAAAAGGGCACCCTATGCTTTTTAAAAAAGTTCCTATTGCAAGTTTTATACAAAAAACATATTGTGATATGTATTGTTATCGCCACCCTTCACAATACATATTATGATATGAATTTTATGCCAAATCGCACATCCCTACTACTAATCATGCTAACGGGGCTAACACGTAGTCTAAATGTCTGTGGTAAAACTCTCCCAAGCCATATCAGCTATTCTCAATGATGTCGGAAATGACTGCTTGTAACATGGGTAACGTTACGTCGGAAAAGTATCTCCAACTGGGGACAATGTAGCGAGGCTCAACGTAGTCCATAAATCTTTGCAATCTGACATCCTCACCAACGAAAAATAAAACTTCCACACCGCCGACATTTTGAATTTTCCTCTCTGCCGTGAGATCGGGTAAGTGCACGTGACGTCATCACATGCTGCCGCTGCAACGTCATCGCATTGTGCTGCCGCTGCAGGCAAAAACAGCGCCTTTTATATCATTGAGTTATTTTAATGGAATGGCCGATGTCCAAGAGCGTGCGCAGGTGAGGGGCTGGGTTTGTATTCAGAGGTAGGAGGGGGCGTGTGCAGTTGGAGGCGCAGACGGGAGAAAAGGATTTTCAAGCCTTGTATTCAGTGGTTGTGATGGAGGCATTTTAACCATCTTATATTGAAAAACTCGATGCATCGAGTATATTCGATATATCGTCCAGCCCTATCTTAAAAAAACTGTTGATGATGTGAAACATTGCATGTTATTAAAGTTGAAAATGAAGACGACAGGTTTAATTTTTAGTTTTTCATTGCCACAAACTGTGTCACACTAACGCTGATAATTGAACTGAACACTGTTCCAGACACATTAACCAAACTGTAAACTGCATTAATGGACTGTACCCTTCCTCTCTGTTGTCATCCTGGATACTGGCACCATGTTGTTTATCTGGCTTGAACAGGCTGTCGCTGCTTTGCTGAATGTAGCTTAAAACATGAATGGATTGGAAAAAAGAACTGAGGGGAATTTTAAGTGAGTAGTTGATCCAACATCTTTCTCTTTGTCCTCCTGCTCCACCAAACCTTGGGCCGAGGTGTATTCTCGTTCGGAACCGGTCCTCTGGTGGGAGGATAGCTTCTCCTTGCAGGAAAAATTAAAATAAAAACTCTGTTGTTTGTGTAAACAAAGTAAACACAAGCAAACATTATTAAGAATGTTGCTTTTACCTGCTGTAGCATTGCTTAATGGATACTGATTACCACCGGAGTAGAAAGCCCGACATCATCCTCGTCAGTTCTGGTCCGCTCAGCGATCGGTGTGAAGCCGTTGGACGAAGCGGTCGTATCCAAAATCTGGCTTTAAAGTTTTTTGTTGTTAGCTGGGCTTTCAGCTCAGAGGATAGAACTTACTGACCGCAGTCCCAGGCAGTGCACATGCCCCTTAGGTGAATGTATAAAAATTCACAGCACCAACTAATGACCTGGCATGGCATCTACAGCGGATTTGGGGATTCATGTAAATGCCAACTGTGCCCCGTGTCAACACGGATATTTTCCTCAAATCAACATCCAAAAAAAAACTGTTTGCCCCCGCCATGTAAATGGGGCCTAAGTTCTGTCTGGTATCAGGGGAAAGCTGGTGTCTTGTCAATGTTTCAAAGCAAATGAGTCTGGTCCCATGACACTACATTTAAATGAAGTTCATATCTGGAGATGGCCTAAGGACCCCCACCTGACGACCCACAGTGGGGCCCTGAGCCCAACTTTGGGATCCATTGTTATGAAGTGGGGTTGAAGTGTTTTCAGTTAAAATGCAGAAGTTAACTGTGGGGTAATAATAATTTTATTTATTTATTTTTTCCAGCAGAACAAGTTTTTGGGGAAGGCCAGTCCCCAACCCGACGCCATGGGGGACGACAGTGAGTGGATGAAGCTTCCCATCGACCAGAAATGTGAACATAAGGTGACTAATATCTGTTGTTTATTAGAAATACTCGGCTGATTATATTATGTTCCTATGATTTGGACTCCATACTCAAAACACGTTCAGCTGCTGAAGTAAATATCCTCCATCAAAAAAAAGATGCTAAATAAAGACTTCTTGTCTGTTTAAACTTTAAAGTGCATGAAAATGAGCTGCGGACCTAATCGGACTCGAGACATCAGTCTGATTAGCTCTTCTCAGACGTGATTACTCTGTTTGGATCCTTGCAGGATTTTACATTCAGGATTATACTAATCCAGCTCCAGGAGAGCTCTGTAATCTGACATTGGGCTTATCATGAACGGTCCCACATGGTGTCACAGCTCCCTGATTTCTCATTTTTATTTTAATAAAAAAAAATTGGAAACAGTCTTGCAGTGTATAAAATGCCTCCTACAATAAAATGTGGTGCCATATTTATTTATGTATTTGTTCAAATCTATGAAGTCTGAAGCATTTGATTTTCTTCTCATGTTTGAATCGTTAAAAGCTTCTGGTGCTGTTAGCTTCCAGTAAAGCTCAAAACAATCAGCTGATTTGTGACTCCAGGAAGCCTTGATGGCTTTAAAGATGGAAGTAAACCGTCTCTGCTCTGATGATGAACTACAGAAACCACAGCAGGAAATGCTTAGAAACTGAAGTCTGTTTCTCAGAATTAATCACTTATTTATGAGAAAACTGGCTCAGTTGTCTCAACATAAAGGGTCAAGATTTATTCATTTTGACTAAAACTCGCTTGTTTCTTGTTAAATTAGTTTACAAAACAATAGATTACATGTTCTAATACAGGCAGCTGATTTACATTAACACAATAATTCTTTTAATTTTCTTATAATTACGGCTGTGCAATGCCAGGTTTGTGTCTACACTTCACATTAAGCTTTCAAATGTCACAAAAACTGTGAAATGAGAAGGAAAAAGATCCATGCATTCAGTTTCTTTAGCTGCTTCTCCTCTCTGTCGCATGGTGCCCATCTCCAGCAGTCAGTGTGTGAGAGGCAGGGGACACCTGGACAGGTGTCAGTCCATCACGGGGCTCATTTACCGGTTGTTGTTGTTGTTGTTGCTGCTGCTGCCCCCCCCTTTCTGCAGGACTTGCCACAGTGAACAAACTCATGAAGGATTTAAAAATCGTTCGACACCAGATGCTCTTCCTGACAGAACCTGGGCTCAAACCTGCGGCCTCAGGGTTACGAGATCGCAGTGCTGAACACTGAGCTGCTGCAGCCCCAATCACAGGGCTGAGTATAAAATGATTTATCGTTGCCACTCTTCATTGCGAGCGTGATCTTCTTCAGTCCTGTCTGAATGAGGCACACTTGTGCGTTCCTTGGCCCAGCCTCGGGTGGAACGTGTTGTGGCGTCTTTGTGGCGTTTTAAAGTAAAGATGGCTGAAGGAGGAGAGAAGCAGCAGCGTTACAAACTGTATCTCCCAGAGCTGCAACTGTTGAACAAGTAGGAGACAGAAAATTATGAAGAAAAGACACAAATTTTCACTTGGACTGAACTACCTGTGATATTTGGACACAAACTTGCATGTTGGCATGTAGCCGTCTGTTCCCATGGCAGCCTGGGTGATGTGCTTCAAACACTGAAAAAGATGGCCCTTCTGGTGAAACCTGAATGTTGTTGCAGTGAAACTGGAGCAGAGGGATGTTTGCTCTGCAGACTTCTGTCAGTGAATCTCTACAAAAGGCCTGTTTGATCCGTGCATCTTCAAACCACAGCTTTAACTTTCCTCTGGCTGTGCAGCTGCTCCTGAAAAACGTTTCCTCACTGCTCGAGCGAGGTTTAATTCATCAGAAACTCCGTGATCGTGTTTGTTTGGAGCAGAGGCATGTTTTTATTTTATAGGAAGATCACCAATTGTCCAACTTTGTGCTCATCGTCCTGTGTCTCGTTCAGGTGTGGAAAGCCCGACTGAACGGTTATGAAGAAGCTCTGAAGTTGTTCCAGAGGATCCAGGATGAGAAGAGTCCTGAGTGGGGGAAGTTCCTGGGACTGATAAAGAAGTTTGTCACCGAATCGAACGCTGTGGCTCAGCTCAAAGGCCTGGAAGCTGCTCTGGTCTTCATCGAGAATGCACACGTGGCTGGAAAGTAAGTTCTAGTAACAGCGGGAGGTTTTTAAAAACAAAAACAGCCTTTGAGGTTTTTTTAGACTACAGACCATCGGTGCATGAAACAGCCTCATTAGTAAGGGATGAATAATGAATTCGTTGCTGATTTTCTCCAGTTTGGATTGTTTATGAACATTCAGACACAAACTTAAAAACAGATTATGACTCACTCAAAGGCATCAATGGTTTGGTCGTGTTTGTAGGTCTGTTTTGGATTCAACCCTATTCAAGATGGCTGCCACAGCTGATTCATCTTGGCAAAAACAAAAAAAAGGCTTTATGGAAGTCAGATTTACAGATGCTGAGCTAAAGTTTGGTGTGGTTGTAGTTGAGAGTTGTTCACAATGCATAATCTGAGTGCTAACAGGATTTAATTATTTAAATGTTTGCCTAAAGCAGCTTGGAGTTTCTGAGGTGTTGAACACTTGTTTTAAAAGTTTGGTGGACTTTGTCGTCGTAATCTGCAGGTTTGTGCTGTAAAGAATGCAGGAATCGACTCTGAATTTATGAAAACATAATCTTAAATTACTCTGATCTGTTTCAGGGCAAAAGGTACCGTTCATTAAAAGTTTTTATCGTGATTACAGCAGATAGATCGTGGGTATCTGAAGATGGCTGCCTGGGTTTCAGGTTCACGTATCAGAAGCTCATGGTGGTTTGTTTCCCTGCTGGATGCCTTGTCTTCCTGCAGCGTTACCAGGCGACTGAATGAATGAACCTCACTGACATGGTGCAGAATCTGGCACCAGAACTAAACCAGTCTCCAGCTCTTCGGTCTGTTTTTGTCTTCTGCACATGCTCAGTGTGTTCCTGCTGGCTGTGGGTATGGATGTCCAAATGATGACAATCTTTCTGAGCTTTAGGCTCTGAGTTCACAGATTCATTCTGGTGCTGCTTCAGAGCTCCTCCGCAGTCTTACAGGCTGAAAAATGTAGTTGTTGACTTAGTTTGGGGAAAAGGAAACTGAATCTGGAAAAATGTTTGTTTTTAGACTTGAACGAAAAGATAAAAATCAAATCATCTACATTTAAATGTGAATCTTTAATGTGCATGAAATGTATAAATCAGTGTGTATAAAAATAAGCAATATTATCATTTATCTTTTAGTTTTAAGATGAATAAAAACCGTCTGAAATCAGATCATATGGCGTCTAAAGCAAAAACATTTATTTTGAATCAGGAAATAAACCAGATGTCGAACTCTTGAACCTGTGGTTGTGACTTATAAACTGATAAAAACATTATCTAAGGAAGCCAGAAGATTGCAGATTGAAATGTGTCTGGATTCAGAGGTTCTGTGGTTCTGATGGGCCGGGTCTCCCTCTGCTGCAGGACGGCGGGGGAGGTGGTGTCAGGCGTTGTGACCAAAGTGTTCAACCAGCCGAAGGCCCGAGCCAAAGAGCTGGGCACGGATATCTGCCTGACTTATGTGGAGATTGAGAAGGCCGAGGTGGTCCAGGACGAGCTGCTGAAAGGACTGGACAACAAGAATCCAAAGATCGTGGTGGCCTGCATCGAGACGCTCCGGAAGGCCCTCAGGTCGGTTCTGTGGTCCGGGTTTCTGCTTCCTCTTCATTTGTTCTTGGTGGAAATCAGAGTCTGTAGACAGATTAGCACTCACCGCTGTGTTTCTGCTGAACTGGGTCAGATTTATTTAATCTGATCCAGTATCCAATCCAGATTGTTTGTGATCATTTAAATATTTCAATCATTTTTACATTTATTTTTGTTTTATTCTGAAGAAATAAAACAATCAAATTCACTTCTGTTTCTCTGAAAACAAAACCCAAAAAGGTAAATAAAATAAAAAAGAAGGTAAAACCAGCTTTCATTTTTAACGTTTTATTTTTGGTATTTAGAATAAAGATTTTAGTTTAATCACAACTCTTGGGGGAATAAATTTAAAATGTAACTTAAAATTTTTAATATCGTTTCAGATCAAACTGTCAAATGTGGAGAGAAGCAGACTAAAACTGATTTATTGCTTTTATTAAGAATCATCAGTTTTTAAATTTAATACACGAGTTGTTAAATGGAGGTTTACTGAAGTTGAGCAGTTTGTTTTGTTAAAAGAAACATAAATAAAAAGAATCATTATGCAGCAGAAAAGCTCAGCTGTGCGTTTAATATTTAGAGCAACAACTTCAACTTGAATTAAACTACTTTCACATTTCCAACATTTTTAAACCCTAACCTGATGATTCATTAAGAACCGCAGCAGTTTTCTGGGTTCTTTTCTTTAGAAGAGAATTGACTCGTTTCCACTCTCCGTGGTTTGGTTCCTGCAGTGAGTTCGGGTCTAAAATCGTGACGTTGAAGCCGGTGGTGAAAGTTTTACCCAAACAGTTCGAGTCCAGAGAGAAAGCTGTGAGAGACGAGGCCAAGCTGCTCGCTGTGGAGATCTACAAATGGATCCGAGACGCTCTGAGACCTTCGCTGCAGAACATTACGTCTGTACAGGTGAGAGCAGCAGCAGCAGCATCATCATCATCACACAGGGACGAAGAGTTCCAGGTTTTTAAATTAAATGGGTTAAATCTCTGCAGCTCAAAGAACTCGAGGAGGAGTGGACAAAGCTGCCTTCATCTCTTCCAAAGCAGACCAGGTTCCTGCGCTCCCAGCAGGACCTGAGGGCAAAGTTTGAGCAGCAACAAGCACAAGGAGAACAGTCCGATGGTGGGTGTGGTACCGGTCCAGATCTACTGCTCTTACTGCGTTCCTTTGGTACCGCAGAGTCATGCTTTGTTCTGCTCTTCCTCCAGGAGAGGATGAGGAGGAAACGGTAGCAGCTGTGGATCCGTATGATCTGTTGGAACCTGTAGAAATTCTGTCTAAGCTCCCCAAAGACTTCTACGATAAGATTGTAGGTTTACCTGAACATGCAAATCATTGAAAAGGCTTTAAAATGTTGTTTATTCTATTACTGACGCGTGAATGTTGTCGTGATAAAATCACAAAGTCACAGGTCCAGGAGTTTAAAACCTCCCACAAACACCCGTCTCTGAAAAAAGCTGAAAAAGATGCAAGTTTTACTTCCTGTGCGTTTTATCTCTGCAGGAAGCAAAAAAGTGGCAGGAGAGAAAAGAAGCTCTAGAAGCTGTCGAGGTTCTGATCAAGAACCCCAAACTGGAGAACGGAGACTACGGAGACCTGGTCAGAGCCCTGAAGAAGGTAAATCTGTCCAAACACCCATTTGGTATTTTTTTCTGAACTGAAGAGAAAGCAGCGCTGAGTGGTTAAATATTCTCAACTTGTACTTCCTGTCTCTGTCATATCGTCTTTTAAATGAACTGAGGTTTTTTTCAACTGAGTTATGTGGGAAAGTCATGAACAGGCAGTATCTTACCTGTTGTCAATGGGTAATTCTGACTGGATTGATGAGGTGATGGCTAGTCCGACTAAAGCTGTCGTGTTCAAATGATCCTCGTCTCCAGGATTTGATTCTACTTTCATACAAACTGTTCTATACTTTACACTAGTCAGTGTCGCATTAACGACATTCTTCAGTTATTTGAGCACAAATGGCTGCAGCAGTGACGAGTAACACCTCCTGTACACATGGGGGCACGTCCTGCAGGAAAATCTAAACATGACCTTGAAATGTAAAATAGGTGGAAAGGTTGTTTTGAACTGCAAGATCCACTTTGGAAGCGAGTCAGCTCAGACCACACTGACCAACTGTTAGCTTGTCAGAGTTAAACTATCTACAACAGGGAAGATATTTTTATATTCTAACACAAAGCAACCCATTTTAAAGTTCCGCTATCGTTTTAGACTCAATTTCATGTTCTGAAGCTGATCTGATCCATCAGGCTGGAAGGGTCTGACACCGTTACCACTCTGAGCAGGTTCTGACCAATCTGACCAATGGATCCCAGTCTGCCTGCCATCTGGATGGAGTAAAACGATTGTCTGAGGGTTCTGTTCTGGTTTCAGGTCGTGGGGAAAGATGCCAATGTGATGCTGGTGTCGATGGCGGCCAAATGTCTGACCGGGCTGGCCTCGGGTCTCAGGAAGAAGTTTGGATCGTACGCAGGACAGGTGAGAGCATTTATACCCGAGGAGCCGGTTAGGAGTTTATTCTGGGTTACAGCAGATTCACATCAGGTTTTAAACTCCACAAAGTTGATCCCGGACCCAAATCTAAACAGAACAGAACCAGTTACCGGACCACTTCCCTCACAGAACTGTCTTTTTAGGTGGTTCCAACTATTCTTGAGAAGTTTAAGGAGAAGAAGCTGCAGGTGGTCCAGGCCCTGCAGGAGGCCATCGATGCCATTTTTCTTACTGTAAGTACATATTTATTTATTTATTCTGTAGTCGTGTCAGAATTCCAAAAATATTACTAATAAATTAATGTATTAATAAGAATTGAAACTAAAATCCACAAATGAGGCTGAAGTAACAGATAATTATTCAAATTCACTTTGTGTAAAAACAAATTAAAACTTGTTTTGAATGTTCTGATTTAATTTCTTTTTATGTTCTCGTCGTCTCTGATGTTATGAGAGGAAAGATTTTCCTCTAAAGTGATTTATGTAAATTGTCTTTACAAGTTTAAACTTACAAAAGACAAGTTACTTTGGTTTTCTCTAAAAGTTTAAATACAAGTTGTGTTTATGTTGGGAAAATGAAGAATAAGGATTTTGATTTTTTTTTTAATATATATATAATTATTTCTAACATAAAGCCTTAAACAGTTTTTTTGTGATTTTATTTTATTTTTTTAATAATTGAGCTTTATGTCTTGAAACGGCTCAATTTATTGTCATTAACTGTTAAAAATATAAATTTACTGGATAAGTTACTGATTTAACCGTCGTCTTGTTTGGTTTATTGCACTTCCTGTTTGTAATCTGATAAGTGTTATTTGTGGAGCACTCTCCTGCCTCTGCAACTCCTAACGCACGTCATCTGCCCTCCTAATTGAACTTTGATGGACCGTTTTGTTTCTCAGACGACTCTCCAGAACCTCTCGGAGGACATCCTGGCTGTGATGGACAATAAGAACCCTTCCATTAAGCAGCAGGCCTCACTGTTCCTGGCCCGTTCCTTCAGACACTGCACTCAGGCCACGCTGCCAAAGAGCCTCCTGAAGCCTTTTTGTGCTGCTCTCATCAAGCAAGTGAACGACTCGGCCCCGGAGGTCAGAGACGCTGCGTTCGAAGCTCTGGGGACGGCCATGAAGGTGGTGGGAGAGAAAGCTGTGAACCCTTTCCTGTCCGACTTGGACAAACTCAAACTGGACAAGGTGAGATAAGCAGTGGGAGCTCTGGAGAGGTCGTTTCTTCAACTGCTAACCTCTGGTGTTCGTCTCTAACAGATAAAGGAGTGTTCTGAAAAGGTGGAGCTCCCCGGAGGCAAGAAAAGTGCTGCAGGAGGAGGAGGAGCGGAGAAGAAGCCTGCAGCTAAAGCTCCTCCTGCTGCTGAGCCTCCTTCCAGATCTTCTGCTCCACCCAAGAAGACCCAAAGTGCTGCAGCCAGCAAGGTACCATCTAACTCGAACCTGCTGAGGTCTATCAAACAGAACCTGGTGGTTCTTTAATTCTCTGGCTCTGTTTCCTGCAGCTGTCAGCCGGGCCGCCTAAGAAAGGCAAAGCAGCTGGAGGGAAAACCAAGAAAACCTCAGACAGCAGAGAGGTCGCAGAGACTGAACTCTCTGTAAGTAAAATATTCTGAACAAACCGGGCTGTTGATTCAGCTCAAGGTCCAAATGATAAAACATACGTGTTTTTAAAACAAGAGCCGTGTGTTGTCTTCATGGAGCTCTACAGTGAACCCAACAACGAGCTCATAAACCGGCTGCTTATTTCTGGAAAACAAACGTGAAAGGAGAATTTTCTAAATTAACTTCGTTTGGCCTCATTCTCACAATAAAATCATTTGCATCATTATTATTAAAATATTTACTGAACCAATGGCCACAAAACAGATTTAAAAGGATTCAAGTAACAAACGGAAATAAAAAATGTATTTAAAGTTTAAAATAAACATTAAGTGTCGTCTACAAACAGAAAGGAGATCTAACAAAGCTGTCTGTCTGAAACAGGAAGTAGTTGCAAGTCTTTTTATTAGTTAAATTATTCCTAACATGACTGGTAACTCTAGGTGAAAGTGAGTGTGGAGGGTCGTTTGTCTGTGCCCTGTGATGGACTGGAGACCTGTCCAGGGTGTCCCCCACCTCTCGTACAGTGATGGCTGGACATGGGCACCAGTGGGTCACCCGAAAAGGAAGAAGCGTATAAAGATGATGGATGGATGGATGGATGGATGGATGAATGAAAGGGCAAATCTAAAGGAAAGATGAGAAACACTGTAGAGTTGGTGCTTTTGTCAATTTACATGACAGATCTTCTTGCAGCTGAGATGGAACTGCAGAGATGTGAAATTAATAATAATCCAATGAGCTTGTTTAAACAAACTGTTCAGAGGGAAGCCGTTCAATAAAGATATCTTGGGTCCATCTCGGAGAGAAATGGAGTTAAACTCGGACATGCTAACCGCTGATCTGAGCGTGGCAGGGACAACCTTCTAAAACAATTTCAATTCACCGTTATTTCAGCTGAGCTGTTGGGATTTGACCTGAGGCTGAAGGAACAGCTGCTGGAGCTTTAAACCTCAAAATGATCTGTTTAAATCTGAAGCTAAAACGTAAACTGGTGTCCTGATGCATGCTCAGTAATCCAGGTAGAGGTTGTAAACTGGTGTTTCTATGACGTGAAAATAGATGGTGGTGTTCTGTCAGTGCGAACTCACAGCAGGAAGTTTGTTGTAAACGGTTTAATTAATTAATTGGTCTCCTCCACCTGTGATCTGAAGCATCCTCATTGTGTGTGTGTATGTGTGTGGTTGTAACTGATCAATGATTTGTGGTGGCGTTTCAGCCCGAGGCGTGCGAGGACCTGGCAGCCGGCGTACTTCCTGCTTCCTGTCTGCAGCAGCTGGACTCGGCCAACTGGAAGGAGAGACTGGCCAGCATGGAGGAGTTCCAGAGGGTGAAGACAGCAGTTGTACTGACTAAAACCTAAAATCTGTTGATGGCAGTTCTGTAGAAGATGAACGTTTGGGTCCATTTTGTGTTTGCAGGCCGTGGAGACGATGGATAAAGCTGTGATGCCCTGCCAGGCTTTAGTCAGGATGTTGGCCAAGAAACCAGGCTGGAAAGAGACGAACTTTCAGGTAAAAACACCAAAGATAAAACTGCCTCCAGAGAAATAAAAGTAAGGTTTTCAATTAGTTTTAATCTTATCGTTAGCATTTCACAGGTCTGGATTAGAATAAAAATTAAACACGACCTGGAGAAGTACCATAATTTTTGTACTATAACCAGCCGTGTTACAAGCACTGTTCAGAAAAAACATTTACTGTACGCATTTGTGTACGTTACCGGTACGTATTTAATTAAACGTTTAAAAAATGTATTTGTGTAAATATCTTGTTACAGTGTTGGACAAGCATGGCCTATATATGTACAATTATTATTATTATTATTATTATTATTATTATTATTATTATTATTATTGTGAGCATGCCTCATATTCGGGTGCACTAAATAGTCTGGAAATTATGTTTGTTTCCAGATGTTTAAAAAAAAAAAATTATATATATAATTGCATTAAAAAAAGAAACGGTTGAAATGAGTAGAATGTTTATTTTATTTTGTTTATTTTATTTTGTTTTGCATTATTACGTAATGAACATTACGATGGAGTCTTAGGGCCACGCTAAGAAAAAAAATTAAAAGCCATAAAATTATGAGAATAAAGTTGTACGAGACTTTATTTTATTTTTTATTTTATTAATTTATTTATTTTTACAGTTCGTTTATTTTTTCCATGAGTCGGATCCACAATGCAACCTGTCAATCAATCCAGTAGGCGTGTCGGCAAATGACCAGTCCGAAGCTAAATGCTCCTTACCTGCAGAGCTGCGCTGCAGCCCATCAGAGCGTACCACCTTACTGTAAGCAGGTTCAAAGTCCTGATGCTGATCATAATCTGATGCTGATCTGCTAACAAATTAACTATCTCCTTATTTGTAAAAAACAGTTCCAAAGTATAAATGGACTGCACTTATCTAGCACTTTTCTATCTTATCCAGATACTCAAAGCGCTTTACAACACGATCTGTGTCCTCATTTACCCATTCATGCAGCGATCTACTAGATCTCCACAAAGCTAATTGAACAAATCATTCTAAAGAGACTAATCAGTGCTGAGATCACATTCACACACTGATGGGACACACATCAGAGGCAATGATGGGTTCAGTGTCTTGCCCAGGGACACTTTGGCATGTGACTGCTGGTGGATTCAAACCCCCAACTCTTTTATTGGAAGACGACTGCTCTAACCACTCAGCCACAGCTGCCCAATCAAGTATAACTTGACAAGATGCTCAACTTTCTTCATTTGAACACAGTTCAGTTAAACTGTGGTCAACCCTGTTTTATTGGGAGTTCGGATAATTTTACGACTCATTTAGCTTTGAATTGGTCATTTCCTGACACGCCTACTAGATTGATTGACAGGTCGGGTCATGGATCCGGCTCATGTTGGGGGGGGGGGGGGGGAAAGAGAGCTGCAAAAAGACTTTTATGATTTTATTCTCGTAATATTATGGCTTTTAATTTTTATTACATTTGTTTTGCGTGGCGATGTAATTTTTTTTTTTTTTTCTTAGCATAACCCTAAAGCTCTGTCGCATGAACATAACTACAAAGTCTTGTTGAAATAATTAATTAAAAATTCCCAGAAATTAAAATGATAAATATTTTCTTGTTGGACATTTTTTGTCCGTCGTGTGCGGTCGGTCGGTTGGACACATCCCTGGTAATTTAAAAGAACATGACTCTAAATATTTCTCGTAAGGTTACAGGGAACAAATCTAAGCTGCTGCACAAAGTTTGTAAATTATAGAAATTTCCTGAAGGTTAAATCTGTTTCAAAACGAGGAATGAGCAGAAACCCCAGCATTCAGCTGAAGACACGTCCATTTGTCCTTACATGTTTGTGACTCATTGATGCTGTAGGGAAGATCTGTGGTGACCTCTGACCTTTGGGATCATGCGACCCTGTGCAGGTGATGCAGATGAAGCTTCACATCGTGGCTCTTGTCGCTCGGCGGGGACAGTTCTCCAAGACGTCGGCCTTGGTGGTTTTGGACGGTTTGGTGGATAAGATCGGAGACGTGAAATGTGGCGGAAACGCTAAAGAAGGTCTGACGGCGATCGGAGAGGCGTGCTCGCTGCCGTGGACAGCAGAACAGGTGGAGTAACCCCTCAGCTCCGAGAACACCGACGCTGCTGATGGTTTGCAACATGAATGATATTTGTGTTCAGGTCGTCTCCATGGCGTTCGCTCAGAAGAACCCCAAGAACCAGGCCGAGGCGCTCAACTGGCTGGCCAATGCCATGAAGGAGTTTGGATTCACCGGGTAATTCCCCACTTTTATTTTGACGTTTTTGGTTTCGTTTTGGGAAAGTAGTTGTCATGAATTAAACTGACGTCTTCGCTCTGCAGCATCAACGTGAAAGGATTCATCAACAACGTGAAGACTGCTCTGGGAGCAACGAATCCGGCCGTTCGCACCGCCGCCATCGCCCTGCTGGGAGTCATGTACCTGTACATGGGAGCGCCGCTCCGCATGTTCTTCGAAGACGAGAAGCCGGCTCTCCTCTCACAGATCGATGCCGAGTTTGAAAAGGTCTGACTGCCGGGGACAATCACGAGATTTAATGTTTAAAATAAATCTGAAGACCTGGAAAGTGAAGATTTCTTTCTCCCCTGTAGATGCAGGGTCAGTCTCCTTCAGCTCCAACCAGGTTCACCAAGAAGGCGGCGGCAGCCGCAGAGGAAGAGGGGGATGAAGGAGAAGAGCAGGACGAAGACGGAGGAGGAGGAGGAGGAGGAGGAGGAAGGCAGGACATCATGGACTTACTGCCGCGAACTGACATCAGGTTAAAAACTTTTATTTTTTACTTTTTAATAGTGTTGTTGTTTTTTTTGTATTCATTCTGAAATCTCATATTTTTCTCATCGTTTTGAATTATATTTTACATTTTTTATTAAATGAGAACAAAAACGCTGGATTTTAAAATCCAGAGAAACAAATAGTTTGAATGCTCACTCAGATTTTACCCGTGTTCATTTTTGTTTTGTGCAGACTTTCACCTATTTTAGCTGTTCTTAGGTCAAAACATTCGGCTCGTTCAGGAGATGGGTGCTGTGACTTTTGAATACTTTTAAAAATATTTAACTTTTATTTATAAATGTTTGCCCCGTAGGACGGCATTGAAATTTTTTCCAAGTCCTTAAAAAAAAAAAAAAAAAAAAACCCTAATGGAATCAGTTTGCTGAAACTGATTTTAGAAACAGTATTTTTGATGCAGCTTTTAGCTGCTGTTCTGCAGCTTTTAGCTCGCTCTTTGCTACGTTTTAGATTTAGCTCAGTTTTAGCTTCAACAAATTTCCTCTGCATTAAATGTTTTCACAGAAAATTTTAATGTCAAGTTTTATTTAATTACAAAGTTGACACCCCCTTAAAAAAATCTTTGCTGATTTTATTTTCCTTCATTTCTTGTGGCTTTGGCTTGTTTGACCTTCAATGTGAACTTCCTGTTGGAAGTTTCCTGATCCTCTCTGGTTTGTGTGAACTTGGTTCAGTTTGAAATGCTGTCTCTTCGCTGTCCCCTCAGTGATAAGATCTCGTCCAGCCTGGTGTCTAAAATCGAGGACAAGAACTGGAAGATCAGGAAGGAGGGTCTGGATGAAGCTGCTGCCATCATCTCCGAGGCCAAATTCATCACGGCCAACATCGGAGAGCTTCCTCTGGCTTTGAAAGGACGACTTGGCGACTCCAATAAGATCCTGGTGAGACGTGGAGCGGCAAGAACACTCTCGACGAGACGTTTCATTTTTCTTTATACTACTGACATCTGTCAAACATAACTTTTTGTTTGGATGGAACTACTTTTAAAAAAAAAACAGTCAAAGCTCTTAGTTGCACATTTCACATAATTTTTCCTTCTGATTTTATCTTGTTATAATTTATTTTCACTCATTGAAAGAACGTTGAGGCCTGTCTGGGTGAATGTCTCAGGGGTCTTCAATTAAAACTCTGAAACATCTCTTTATTTTACTTGCAGATTTATTTCACCAAACGGATATAACGGTTTATTATATAGAACACAATATATTTATTTCCTTCGTAGCAACTGCTTTCTGTTTCCTGCAACAAACAAACTTTAAATAACGTTCAGACAAATGTTTAGTTGTTGCATGGAGCCGCTGAGTTCCAGCACAGATTTAACCAACAAAGTTTCTCTTCCACAACTTGACATGTTCTCCCTGCAGGTCCAACAGACTCTGAGTATTCTGCAGCAGCTGGCCACAGCCATGGGACCTGGACTCAAGCAGCACGTCAGAGCTCTGGGTTTCCCCATCATCACAGTTCTGGGAGACAGCAAGGTCAAACCAAACCTTTGTCCTGAGTTTCTCTGCAAACGTTGATGTGTTAAGTCTTTGAAGGGTTTATTTGTGATGTGTTTGACGTGCGTTCGTGTCCCACTGCAGCCCAACGTGAGGACTGCTGCCATGACGACGCTTCAAGCATGGGTGGAGCAGACGGGGATGAAGGACTGGTTGGAAGGAGAAGATCTGTCCGAGGAGCTGAAGAGGGAGAACCCCTTCCTGAGGCAGGAGGTCCGTCTCTTCTGGTCTGGTCTCTGAGAAGTTCAGGTTTTTAGAGAAAAGATGAAGACTGACTGACTGTTGGTCACTCAGGTGTTCGGCTGGTTGTCTGAGAAGCTGCCCACCCTAAGGACCATCCCCGGGGATCTGATGCTGTGCGTCCCTCTCCTCTACGCCTGCCTGGAGGACAGAAACGGAGACGTGAGGAAGAAGGCTCAGGACGCCTTGCCCACCTTCATGATGCACCTGGGATATGACAAAATGAGCAAAGCTATGGGGAAACTCAAAGTACGGAACCTGAAATGGACCTTTGCAGTGCCTGAGTCCGAGTTGTTGGGATGGTATTGTCATGTGTTTGTCCTCATGTACCCCTCAGCCCGCCTCCAAGGATCAGGTGGCCGCCATGTTGGAAAAGGCCAGAGCGGTGATGCCAGCTAAACCTGCAGCGCCGGCCAAATCAGGAGGAGGAAAGGGTTCTGCTGAGCCAAGCAGAGCTCAATCAGGTGGGTCCAGAACAAATTCAGTCAGACATTCAGCCGGGGTGGTGATGTAACCGCGCACGTGTTTGTGTCGAACCAAAACAGACATTTGTACGAGTATTTGTACACAGTGTTTTAATTTAACATCGTTTTGTTGAAGCGACGACAGAAAAGAAGCGGGTCTTTAAACGCCTCGAGGCTTCAAGACGAGCTGTGTGGGAAAGTTTCTGGGTTGTGACCCGAGGCGGCAGGCAGCTGATGCTATTGACGTGTTTGGTGACTGTTTGTGGATTTGGCTTCCTGGTAGTCTTTTCCCACTTCAGCACAGTTTGGTAGACGTGTGGATTTTAAAAAACTTAAACGTACCGCGGCTGATGTTTGGGCTTGTAGTTGGTGCCGCAGGTCACTGTCCTGTTTTCTTTTTTCCCAATTTAGTGATGGTCTCTGTTCGTGTTGCAGGTGGAGCAACACCAGAGAACCTGCACAAGTAGCTCGTTGGAGTAGGGTGGAGTCCCTGTTAAGATGCAGCGAGCTTCGCTGAGCTTGGATCTTTTTAGCACGAGTGGATCCGTTTTAATAGAGAAGACATGAGCTGACAAACCCCACCTGTAGATGACCTTTAACCCTCCCAACTAACAGGTGTCTTGTTTTTCTGCTCCTGACACGCTTTCGGTTTTAAAAGTGACAGAGAGAGAATGGCTTGTGGCTCTTGTTTGTTAGTTGTACCAGACCTGCACTGACTCATGCCTCCATCTCAAACACCTGCTGAGTCGTGAGTTCCTCGTACTTTTACTCCTAAACTCTGCTACAGGTAATGATGATGTTGTGCAGCTGAAATGGAACCAGAACTTCTGGAATTCAGAATTAAAAGTTTTAGAGACTGGTCTGAGCAGGTTCCCGACGTCCTTTACAGGAAGTAAATCTGACCGGTTTTGGTCCTCAGCAGGATCCGCAGTAATGAGATGCTTTAGAAGTGGGCCACTTCCTGTTGGGGGGTTTAAGGAACTGCTCAGTGGTTTTTGTGAATATTTGATTGAATATAATTTTTCATCTGCAGCCTCCAGATCTGCAGCAGCTGCTGAGGATTTCACCGACAACAAAGCTGAGGCAAAGAAAGTCCGAGGAGGAGGAGTGGCTGCTAAGAAGGTAGTTCTCCTTCAGACCGGAAGCTTTTCTTCATTTTTGTTCTGTCAGAAAAGAAGAAAAGTTGTTCCGTTTGTTCCTCATGTGCATCATGTTGAGTTATTTCACATCCATGAAGTATAAATGTGATTTATCTTTACTCACCCAGCCTCCCTCCCCTCCCGAGGATCCTCCCCCCAAGGAGAAGGACAGTAATGGTAGTAAAAAGTCCTCTGGTAAAGGGAAGGCTGCTGCTGGCAGTCAACAGGTAGATGTCCAACAGGTGTCGTCCTGCTCCAACTCTGTCCTGAACCTCTTCCTGCTTCTGTTCTGCAGTGGACACCTGTCAGCTGGACAGATGTTAACCTCTGTCCAGCCTCTAGTCCTCCTCAGCCGTGTGGTTTATACTGACCTGGGATCAGAGAGTGAAACTCTTCAGCATGAGTCTTTGTCTGCTCCATCTGATAACCTGCTCTGAAATTTGTAACATCTGCTTTCACGTCCTGTTTTTTTTTTTTTGTTTGTTTGTTTGTTTTCCATCTTTCCACCCAAACTCACCTGTTCTTTAAAAACACTGCTGGACATGGTTTCCTCGGATCACTCATGTTGTCTCCTGTCTCAGGGTCCGGCCGGGAAGAAGCCTGGAGCTAAAGGCCCCAAGGACGATGAGGATAAGTCTGGGCCAATCTTCATCCTCATCCCCAACGCCAAGGAGCAGAGGATCAAAGAGGAGAAGCAGCTGAAGGTATCTGCTGGTCCACCTCAGTCCTGGTCCTCAGTGGGACCCTGTCCTGCATGTTTTAGATGCTTCCCTGCTTTGACACATTAACACAATGTGGTGGGTGTGCTGGTTCTTTGAACTGGGTGTTTTTAGACCAGAGAAAACTGTTTCGTATGAGTATCCTGATGCATGCTCAATAATCCAAGTAGAAAAATCTAACGAAGTAAAGTCAGGTCCTCTGGACGGATTCTTCTTTTGTTGAAACGTTTCGTTATTCCAAAAGACTTCATCAGACTGACAAAGTCTTTTGGATAAAAGATGAATAAGGGGACAACTGTTATTTAGTTTTAATACTGAGGTACTTGGGTGGTGGGTTATCATCTCATCAGAATCTCATCCCGAGTCTTATTTATGGGTTTATTTTTATTTGGGATGATGCAGTTAGACTTGGCGGACGTAACGTGCATCTGATGTTTAACTCCAGTCCAAGGCAGGTCTCTCCAAACAATTAAATCTACAACAAATTGAGCCAAATAAAATGATTCTAATCAACAGTAGAATCCCACAGAAGGAAAGATGAAACATGAAATGCCTTCCTCTGCAGCACTCAGACCTCATCAGCTAATACACGGCAAACACAAGCATAGAGCTGAAGTTTGGTGTGGTAGTAGCTGAGAGTCATCCACAACACTCACTCTGAGTGCATGTTGATGTTTTAAAGGTTTGGTGGAAACGCTCTCAACTTGACAACCTTCGTTTGAGTCCGATCAGCGTGACCGATGATGATGATGATGGTGAAGAATATTTTGCATTTCAGATTCTGAAGTGGAACTTCATCACTCCTCGAGACGAGTACGTGGAGCAGCTGAAAACCCAGATGTCCACCTGCTTTGCCAAGTGGCTGCAGGACGAGCTGTTCCACTTCGACTTCCAACGACACGTGAAGGCCATCGGAGTCATGATTGAGGTACGAGGCCCGCGGTCCGGTTCCTGCAGGTCCAGCTCGAGTTCTTCAGGAGGATCTTGTTTCAGTAACGTTTTGTGTTTGACAGAGGTTGGAGAGCGAGAGCATGGCCACCATCGGTTGTCTGGACCTAATCCTGAAGTGGTTCACCTTCCGGTTCTTCGACACCAACACCACGGTCCTGATGAAGGTTCTGGAGTACCTGAAGCTGCTGTTCACCATGCTCAAAAGGGAGGACTATCACCTGACGGATTACGAAGCCAACTCCTTTATCCCGTACCTCATACTGAAGGCGAGCCCACGCCCCACACTGCTGCTGAGATTTTTATTGTGAAATGGTCAGTGTCTCAGTTTCCTGTTTGTCTTCAGGTCGGAGAGTCGAAAGACGTTGTTCGTAAAGATGTTCGTGCCATCTTCACCATGCTGTGTAGAGTTTATCCTGCATCCAAGCTCTTCTCTTTCCTTATGGAGGGAACCAAGTCCAAGAACTCCAAACAGAGAGCAGGTGAGAGTTTAGATTATAAAAATAATCCAGTTTAAGATTTAAGACGTTTAGTTTATTTGGACTTCAACAGTTTGACTTTTCCTGTTTCATTTAGAAAGCGGGAGTCAGGTTTCAGTCCAGTCTGCCTCCACACCTGCTACCTTCAGAGACGTTTCAAAGCATCTGAGGCGACTTATTTTGAAAATTTCACAACACATTTTCCTGTTTGTGTCTTCCTGTTCTGCTCAGAGTGTCTGGAGGAGCTGGGCTGTTTGATCGAGGGCTTCGGGGTGAACGTGTGCCAGCCGACGCCGGCCAAATCCCTGAAGGAGATCGCCGTCCACATCGGAGACAGGGACACATCTGTCCGCAACGCCGCCCTGAACACGGTGGTGGCCGTCTACAACGTCTGTGGAGAGCAGGTCTACAAACTCATCGGAAACGTAAGACGCCGATACTCCTCAACGCTTTGAGTCAAACCTGGAACCAGAACAGGCTGCATTCATCTTTGACATGTTTCCAGCTGTCTGAGAAGGACATGAGCATGTTGGAGGAGAGGATCAAACGGTCGGCCAAGAAGACGCCGGCGGCGGCAGTGACCAAACAGAACGCAGCAGAGAAAACACAGCGAGAACAACCTGCAAACCCCAACGCCACCTTCCTCCGCAAGCCGGCGCAGGAAGACCCCAACAAGCTCAAGTAGGTCCCAGAACTGCCCCGGTATCACCAGGACATGTTGGACAGCTGCATAATTTATCACAATAATTAAATCAAATATTTATTATAATAATAAAATTACAAATAATCTTCAATTTGTTTGAGACTTCTTACATAAACCCGTGGACTTAGTTAATTTAATTATACTTTTATTAAATATTAACTTCAGCTCGACGTTTTTTATTTATTTATTTATTAGAATTTATTTTTTGCTTTGATGTTAAACACCAAAGCTTTGATTTGTAAGAACCATCATCACTTGGTGTGCAACAGGATGTGGTCCACGGGAATCAACATTTATTAGACTCCGTTGTCAAACTTGATTTTTCTAAAACAATCAAGTTTTAAATTCATCTGAGCGACGAGTCAGAACCTCAGAACCACTTGACCCAGAGACGCAGCTGAAACCCAAACCATGTCCTGTAATCTTAAGTAAAAATACAAGTTTTACTGCGTTAAAACATTATAAGCATGTTATTTTAAAAATATTCTTCCTGCTGCCTAAATACAAGAACATCACGTATTGCTTTAGAGGTAGAATATTCAAATTACACTTTAAATAAATCTTTGTATGATTATTACAGATCGATGGATACTTTATTGATGCCAGAGGGAATTTTAAAGCCTCCAGTCTCAACATGACGCTCATTAACTATGTAAACTGGGGGAGGGCGGAGTAGAGCTGCTCCTCATCAGAAGGAGCAGCTGAGGAGGTTTAGGACTCCTCCTGGACTAGAGTTGCATTTGGGCCTAAAAAAAAAAAATCCAACCCGGCCCCAGCCTGTAGCCATTTTTTTCTGGAGCCGACCAATTAACTGTAATCGCAGGCCCAAACCCAGGAAAAAAAAAGAAAAAGAAAAAAAAAAAAATATATATATATATATACTGTTTTTTGTTTTTTTTTTTTTTTAAGATTTTACTGCTTTTGTAAGTAAATCGGTTTGACATGATGGTTTTTAAAAACGTATTTCAAAGAAAGGACGATATAAGATTTGTTGTTTCACCAAATGGATATTAACGTACAAAACAAATAGCCTCAAAAATCAACAGTAAAGAGAGGTCATTATAAGATGAACAAAATATTTTTAGAACAAAATTATTTAGAAAAATATAGAACAAGGCTATTTTAATTGAACGCGCTGCTCGCTTCGGCTTTAGTTCAGATGCTGCAACATGAAAGCAGGTGCGGAGACGCACGCGGCCGGTGATCAGCTGATCCATTTGAGTTTAACTGGATTTTTAAATTTTATTTTAAAAAAATTTACCTCTTCCAACCGGCCGGTTGGACCTGCCTCCTCCTTAACAAGTAGATGAACACAGTTTTATATTGTACATTCTTATTTAGTTTTCTTTGTGCTGTATGATTTGTAAAACCGCATCAAAAGCCCGAGACCGACCCGGCCCGCCCATCAAGCACATTATTTTGGCCCAACCTGGCCCGAATTTTGGGCCTCATTGGCTCGGGTTAGAAATCGCAGCTCTATCCTGCACCCGACCCTCAGAAAGGAGACCCGGGGATCCAGATCTCGTCTGCCCAGACAGACAGGGAGCAGAGCAGCTCACACATGGCATTAGTACCGTAACACTTCACCACCCGACAAACGCCACGAGCTCACTCTCAAGGCGAGGAACCTACGGCAACCACTGACATTTAATTTTAGTACACCATCATCGATGTGAAGAGTGACGACTCGTGTTTCAAGTCGGATATTTTATTCACACGAGACACAGATTTTATAAATAAAAACTACCGGAAGTTGAACCTGTTTGTAAACTGCGAGGAATCGCCCCAGTCCTGAGTATCTATATCGAGCTGTAAAATCTTAATTTAACTTTTTATTTTTTCTTTACCACTCCTCACGCTGCACATCAGGCGTTCAAAAATGAGACGGATAACCCTCAATATCCCTGAATGAGCTTTTGAGCTTCATGTCGACGCAAAGAAAATACAAATTACTGTTTAATTTACTGAAGTTTTACTCAGCCCCAGGTGTTTTTGACCAAACGTGTGTTTATGAGCATCATGGAGAGACTTAATCAGAAAATACAGCCTATAAAATAAAACTTTTGCTCATTTTTACAATATTTAATAATTGTATAAAGCTTGTGCTCTTTTAGCTCCTGTCACTGAAAGTAGTTTTAAATCTTGGATGATTTATCCAACGTTTCCAGCTGCATGTGAACTCCTCCTCGTTTTAGTTTTTACGTCTCAGATTAATTTTGGGTGTTTTTCTGTGACTAACGTGTCGTTTTCCTCCCGGTTCTGAATCGTTGCATGTCGGGTTGCTCTCACAGGTGCTCGTTCAGTTTGTGAAGACGAGTCCTCTCTGGTGTGTCTGTGAAACCAACCTGCTGCCTCTGATCGGCTGTTTGTCTCTTTCTTAACCCTTCATCTTTCTTTCCTGTGTGATCTCCTCCTCCTCTTCCTCTCTGCTCTGCCTGCCTTCCTTTCTGGAGCAGAATAATGTATCGCACGTATAGGATGTGAGTACGCCTCCTCTGAATTCATCCTAACGCTCATCTGACTCATGACACTCATGAACAGAAAGCTTTGGCTGTTCCTCCTCTTCCTCAGTTGCTTCTCAGTTTCACCGCTTGTTAAAATAATTGTCCTCTGCTTGGTGTCAACAGTCCTGTAAGTTTCACGTTCGCCTTTTTAGATGTGAGGTCAGGAAATGTTGTGATTCTAGTTTTTGATTTAGATTTGTATTAAAGCAGCCGTTTGTAGACCCTTAGGTCCTGTTCAGACCTGGTGCCAACATCCGTCTCTGGGTCTGCTCTGAAGGACAGCGTTCAGTAGAAGGCAGTAAAAGTTCAGTGGGTTTAAATCTGTTGCCTGTTTTTATGTGTAGACACACGCACAGATATTAGGTTGTGTCTGAATAAGCTTAGATACATGACGGACACGACGGGAGAAATAAAGGATCAGAGAGACCGGCTCCACAGGGCTCTGTGTCGGAGTCTGAAAGTTTTAACATGTAAAACTTCACAAGAGTAAAACGGACATCAGCTGTTTTACAGCTCTGTGTTTAATGAACTGCTGTAATGGCCACAGCGGGTCCAGAAACGATCAGAACAAACTCTAAACCAGGACTATTCGACTGGCGGCCCGGGGGCCAAATCAGGCCCCCGGGTGAACTCATTTCGACCCACCAATGGGTTCATTTTGAAATAAAACTAGATTTTAAACCATTAAACAAACTTCCTCAATGACGATCACTGCTGGATGTCCGGACCCTGAGCAGTTTAGTTGAATAACTCTGCCCTGAACCAAAGATGAACTCTCCGTGCAGTGTCCTCTAATTAACTTTCATGAAGTCTCAACAAAAGACGGATTTACTGAGGAGGACTCTGATAAACGGACCGTTAAACTTTTAGCCAGAAGACAAAAAATAATATTTGGGAATTCTTTGAAGGTTCAGCTTTTTTGTTTTTAATCATCTTCAGTCAGCTGAGAGGACTTTGTCTCCTCACCTCAAGATATCCTGGTACTGACTTCTGTGGGCCACATCAGTTCAACGGGTCCTACAGCTTAGCTCCGGACCGGTTCTGCTCAGAGTAATGTACGCAGATGAGAGAAGGTGACTCTCTGAAGGAGGGTCTGGTCCACCCCTGGGGGTGGAGGGGATGATTATCAGATGACTTGTTGATGGAGTTTTGTTGTTTTTAGTTAAAGAACTTGGCCCGGTCAAGGATCTCAACAATTAGTAAATCCTGGTCTTCAGACCCAGAACTGGAACTGAGTCTGGTGAGATGTTTGACTTTTGAGGTTAAAGGAAGGTCGGATCATCACAGAAAACGTTAGATGAAAGTCTGAAAGTGGGTTCGATCTCTGAAGATCAGCACTTTGTTTGAGCTCGATTGTTCAGACCAGGCCCAAAGATCTCAGCGCTTGGTGTTTGTTTTTGTCTTTGTGGCTCCGCCCCCTTTTTATTTTCTCCCACACAAACATGAACATGTCCGATCCGTGCCGATCTGCTCCAGTTCAGACCAACATCACCGAAACCTCCATCTAGAGCAGGGCTTCCCAACCACTGGACCAGTACCGGACCGCGTCTGATTTGGTACCAGGCTGCATTGAAAGAATAAAGTTTTATTTAGAATTTTCTTTATTTCCATAAGCCTGCATGACATTTGATTTTGGAAAATTAATCTTTCATCTGCACATTTTTAGCGCTCTCTTGACTCGGGCGCAGGTTTTATTAATTTTTTTTAATTTTCTGGTGACTCTTAGACCAACTTTAAAACAAATTGAGTAAAAAAAAAAAAACAAACGTTGCTGGAGAGCTTCTTTGAAAAAGGGAACAGACCTGATGAAGAGACGTTCAAAATAAAAGCTGCAGTTAAAAGCAGATAGAGTCCTGTGGGTTCGTGGTGCGCTCTGGGAGCTGTGGCGACGGGCGGTCCCTGAAACCTTCAAACTGCTTCACCACGTGGAGCCTGAACCTTCGATAAAACACGACACTTTGGAGTTTGTTGAAAGAAAACTGAACATGATCAGAAACGGTTATTGAAGAGCGTCACTTCATTAAATGTTTCTGCACTGACAGCATCGTACGCATTTAGTGGCTAACCGCATTCATAAGAAGTTATAATAAATAAGGAATACAAATGGAATGACAAAATATGGAAGTATAATTACAGCTGAAACAATTAAATTTTGCACGACGCACCTTTTTATATTGTGGTTCACGTTCCCACCCCCCGTATAAAACTGGTCCTTGGTGCAGCAAAGGTTGGGGACCTCTGGTCTAGAGTGTCGTTTGGTTGAAAACCAGAAGTTTGGGTCATTTATCCAGAGCCGACAGGCACGTCAGGACTGATTAGTTCTCAGAACTTTGAGGCGGTCCGGACTGGAGCTGAATCGGTGCAGATCAGTAAAATATCAGCTGACTTCCTCCCTCCTCTCTCCTCCAGTCATTCCCGTCAGAACGCGCAGCACAACGAGCCGTCCCACCCCTCCATCCCCAAAGAGTTCCAGCTGGACCTGGACATGATCGAGAGAGACCAGAGCCTGGTGAGCGAGCTGCCGGACCTGGTCCAACACAAGCTGGATGAGCTGCTGGAGCCCATCATGATCCCCGAGCCCAAGTAAACCGCCGCCTCCAGCCGAACCTCCGACACAGAAACTAAAAGGTACTGATTTTATGGTTCTGTTGCAGGATTCGCGCCGTCTCGCCACATTTCGACGACCTCCACAACAGCACGGCCTCCACCATCAACTTCGTCATCTCTCAGGTGGCGAGCGGTGACATCGGCACCAGCATCCAGGCGCTGGCTCAGGTACAGCTCACGGGTCACCATCAGAACACTGAGGGGGGTTTTCATCTCCGTTGCTGGTTCTGTATGCTTCTCTGGGCCCGGTGGGGCCAGAGATGTGTCTCTTGCTGGTTTCAGTGATGTTTTGTCGTCCACAGATCGACGAGGTTCTGCGACAGGAGGACAAAGCGGACGTCATGTCGGGTCACATCGACCAGCTGCTCATCGCCACCATCATGCAGCTGAGGCTCATCAACAGCAGGTACCTGGCTCACGACCGCGTGGACAAGAGGGACGTCATCAAACTGTACAGCTGCATCATCGGGAACCTGCTGTCTGTGAGTGATCACTGCCCTGAAGCTCCGCCCACCGCCACTCCGCCGTTAACCTTTCTCTGCCTCCTGTCAGCTCTTCTCCGTGGAGACTCTGGCCAAGGAGGCGTCTGTGGGTGTCCTGAAGGACCTGATGCACGGCCTGATCACGCTGATGCTGGACAGCAGGGTGGAGGACGTGGAAGATGGAACGCAGGTCATCAGGTCCGTCAACCTGCTGGTGATCCGGGTCCTGGAACACTCGGACAGCACCAACATGATCAGGTGGGTGACATCAGACAGGAAGTGAAGATCGGAACCTGGAGATCCACAAACGCGTCTGACGTTTTTAAACCGGTTCTTCCTTCTGCTGCAGCGCGCTGCTCGAGCTGCTCCAGGACACGCTGATCTCCACGGCGGTCTCCTCCACCTTCTCAGAGCTCGTCATGAAGGTAAGCCCTGTGACCCGACGCCGGCCCGAGCCGCCCATGGAGCCTCCCACACTGACCCATGTTCTCGCCTCCTCAGTGTCTGTGGAAGATGATCCGCTTCCTGCCAGAAAGCATCAACAGCATCAACCTGGACCGGATCCTTCTGGACGTCCACAACTTCATGAAGGTTTTCCCCAAAGAGAAACTCAAGCAGCTGAAGACCGATGTCCCACACCGGACCATGAAGACCCTGTTACACACGCTGTGCAAGCTGACCGGGGCCAAGGTGACGCGCTCGCACACAAACTGGGTTCCTGCACAAAATAACTACAATAATTATTCATTTGTCTAAAATTGAATTTCATACAAATTAATACAGTAATTTTATAATTACTCCTGTTTTCATGCAACAAACTAAGAAAAATCACCTTTGTTCATGATCATGAGTTTATCTTTCACAAATTTAAAGAATTTAAGACTAAAAAGTTATTACAGGGATCTGCAGATAGTTAGCATGTGGCTAAATGCTAACTCACTATTTAAGTTCACAGCTTTCATAAAAGAAGAAACTCAAAAATTAAACTTCCAGTAGAAAAAGAAAACAAAATCAACTTTTCTGTTGAAACTTGTGCAGAACTTTAAATTGAACCCATCTCTGCCCAGTCTAACGGTCCATCGCCCCCTGGTGGGTCTTCTCTGTTCCTGTTAGTGACGCCTGCCGGGTCGTTTCAATCACGTTTTTCATGGCGGTTCTGTGTTTGTGAGCAGATCCTGGACCACCTGTCCATGATCGAGAACAGAAACGAGTCCGAGCTGGAGGCCTACCTGAGGCGGGTCGTGAAGCAGTCCGGGAACCTGTCGGGATCAAAGAGCGACCGGGGGAACGAGAAGGGCGGCCTGCGCACGGTGAGCGTCCGGTCTCATCACCTCACAGAGGAAATGAAAACGTTTATGGAATGAACGAGTCCGATTTATTGTTTTTAATAACTGATGCTTTTCAGGACGACCACATGTCGAAGGCGAAGGTCAGCGACGTTCTGTCGGAGATCTTTAAGAAGATCGGCTCCAAGGAGAACACTAAAGAGGTTTGAGATCCGCCTTCTTCCTGCGCTTTTATTCCAACAGAACCCGTGGGTTGTTCTGAGGTTCTGCTGACCTCGTTCTCAGGGTCTGATGGAGCTGTACGAGTACAAACAGAAGTACTCCGACGCCGACCTGGAGCCGTTCCTCAAAAACACGTCTCAGTTCTTCCAGAGCTACGTGGAGCGAGGCCTCCGCATGATCGAGTCCGAGAGGGAGGGTAAAACCCGGATCCAGGGCTCCTCAGGTCCGACCAGAACCTTTTAACCGTGTGCTGCGGTCACTCAGGAGTGTGTTCTCATCGTGTGTTTGTGTGTGTGCAGTGATCCCGCAGCACAGCGTGGACTCCGCTCTGAGCACCAACGACGAGCTGAGACCGGCCGTTTACTACGAGAGGCTGAAGATCCTCCGACAGAGACAGGGACTGGAGAACACATCCAGGGTCAGTTCCTGCAGAACCAAACCAGGTTCCAACATTCAGCTCTGGCGTTTATTGTTCCTCAGTGTTTATAAATGGACTCAAAGGCCTAAAAGAACCAAGTTCAACCACAGAAGCTGCAGTTTTAAAAACGATTCGATGCATTTATTGACCTACAGGTGGTCAGAAACTCTGAGCTGGTCGAAGAAGAAACTCCTCCCATTCTGGTGGTCGTTGCTGCCAAAAAACAGTTTTTCCCCCAAAGTTTTTTTTTTTCATGGTTTGTGAAAATATCCCTGTAAGCGTTTCTAAATGCTGCAGTAAATCTGCCAGACCTGACGGGGCGCTCTTAACAAAATGACACCCCAAACAGGAAACCAGACGTGGGGACAGGAAACTCGCGCACTGCGAACGAAATCTAAATGATAAAAGACTCGAGTCAGAGGCAGGGCCACGACATCAGTTTTCAAACTAGTTGAACAGCCCCTAAAACACTGTTTCTGTGTGGATGGGGCCTAAAACTGACCCCTCTGTTCAGTTTCTGACCCGGGCTGCAGCTGTTCACCTCGTTTTACCGTCTGTACTGAAAACAGGCCGAACGCTCGGCTGAGGTTTTCACACCGAGAGGCTGAAACCAACAAGCTGCAAACGATAAATCTAGTCTGCAGGTTCTGATTCTCCGACTGCTGGAAAATAACTTGTTACCTGTAAATCCCACACAATCGGTCTTAGCAACACGTTGCTGCAATTAAATTGGCGTTGTGCAACTTTGCATGTTTTTAGCTGCAGTTCAGTCACAAATGTTTTAACCATTTTATGAGAATTTGGATTGGGTCCGTCCCTGAAACCGGTCCTACTCTCTACTTCCAGAGTCTGGTTCTTTTATTCCCAGATGGAGAGAAAACTCGCTCTAACTCAAATAAATCAAGAGATATAATTTCCGTTTACCAATTTAATGTTCATCAGGCAGGAGAAAGTTTCAGCGCCGAGGCGTCCGTCCAACACGTCGTAACGCGGGAGCGGAAGTGATAAAATCTGTAGCGTAGTTCATGACGTCCGTCACCAGACGCCCTCAGACATTTTTCACTTTCACTTAGAAACTAAACTAATTTAATTATGAGAACGTTTTAAAAACAGGAGTTGACCAAAGTTCATCCAAAAGGTCCAGAAATCTGAAAATTAGAGACGATTAAAGAAAACTATCTGTCGGAATAAAACGGAGCAAACTAGAATGAAAATGTTGGGATGTAAAAACAAGACTGGAACAAATCTATAAGATCTAAACTAACATTTCATGTTTTTAACATAGAAACACAATTTATAACCTGATCGTTTTATTTAAATCTTAATCTTGTCAGGCCACACGTTAATTAATTACTTAAAGAAGAAACTTACAAAATAAAAATGTACTTTATAGCGTTACAAGTCTGAGCTCCACCTGGAGTTCCTCCTGGCTGTAACAACAGTCTGGTGTTTGTTCGCTCCACAGCAGCAGGGCGTCGGCGGGAACGAGGACGAGCCTCAGCAGCGACCGGCCATCTCCTCGCTGCTGTCCTCCAAGCCGCCGGTGGCGTCGTCCACCGACATGCTCCACAGCAAGCTGTCGCAGCTGAAGGAGTCCCGCGAGCTGTACCAGCAGGAGCACCACTCCCACTCCAACTCCCCCACCCACGGCCGCTCCGCCCCCGCCAACCTGGACGACCTGAAGAAACGCCTGGAGCGGATAAAGAGCAAACGGCAGTGAAGCACCCCCCTCCCCGACTTTGTACAGATTGAACCTCTGATGGCGTTCTTCTGTGGTGTTGCAGAAACTATCGGAGTTGTAGCGCCCCCTGCAGTCTGCAGTGACTTTTAATTTTGTGTAAATAAAGTTTGCTGTAATAAAATCTGTAGTTTTAGTTTCACGTTCTCTGCTGAGGATGAGGAAGATGGCGGTAGCTCCATCTGTTCGGTGGAGGTTTGAGTGAAACTTGTTTCAGTTTTTTTAATCCAGACGTCGGCCATTTTATTGTTGCGCTTGTATTCCTGTGGAAGAACAAATAAAGTTCTTTGTTGTTTGTTTTTTTTAAATTAACTCCCAAATCTGAAATCGTTTGTTCTTCATGTTCAACATCAAGTTCTGTTTCTTCGTTCAGAATCGACACCTTTACTGCATTTTGTTTTAAAGGAGCAGTTCTGATTAAAAAAAATAATTTTAAAACAACTTTTTAAATGTTAAGACCTCAGTGGTCCTGGTTCCGTTCAGACTAGCTCAGTCATCCATCAGTTTTTACCTGCTGCTTTTTTTTTTT